AGTACTTATTATTACAGGTAACATTATTCTTAGTAAGATTACAATTATCAATTTCGTCGGAAGTTACAAGTTTTGCAACGTTTACGTTATTAGAATTATGAACATTAGTAGTACTTTTATTATTATGTGAGTCTTTAAACCTCTGGTTACTTTTTTTCATTTTTTCCAGTCTTTCTAGCTTCTTCTTCTTAGTTTCTTTATTGTTCATTGTTCTATAAATAGCTTCCTCTTGAAATCTTTCATACAATTCTGCGTACTACTAATAGTGTAGATGCTCTTGAAGTTTTCGATGAAGAAATATTAATATTGAGTCGATGTACATACGTTTTTTGTAGTATTCACGAACTTTCTTCTTTATTAACCTGTTCTCGAGTTGATCTTTTTGTTGTAGGTTTAGGACCTTTTATTACAAATGACTTGGGAGTTAGATCTTTCTTTATTGCGATATGTAAGAATTTTATATTATCTCTGGTCTTCTCTCTTTTCAATACAGTACTTTTTAGTGTTTGGATTAAAACAGATAACTCTGCTGTGAATAATGAAGCCAACGCATAATCCAGGTTCATCGTGAAAATATATTAATAATAATAAACTTCAGATTAAGTACGATAAAAATTATTTATTAAATGATATTGGTGCAACATATGTTTCAAGAAAATATCTAGTCATCAGGGACGACTGCATTGAATAAAACATTCATTAGTAAATTATACAAAAAACATATTAAAATAATTACCGTCAGAAATTTAGTAAAGAAAGTACAGTAGTAAACATTTGGTTTGTTTTCGATTTATACGTTTAATACCATAGTTGATAACAAATTTAGGATATCTAAAGTCCTCCAGGTGATCCTAGATACCATTTGCGCTTGGTGTAAGGGAGAGAACCTCTCAATAAACCCGCAAAAGACAATTGTTGTGCCCTTCACCAGGAAGCGAAAGTTGGATGGACCAAGGTTTGTAAAGCGTATTGTACCAATACGTATTGTATAATACGATTTGTACATATTGTAAAGCATAGTACATATTAGGTACAATATGTACGCTTGGTTCAATACGCTTTACAAACCTTGGGATGCACTAATCCGCAACTATCCAAGGTGAAGAAATTCCTTTCTCAAAGGAAGTCAAATATCTAGGAGTAATCCTAGACAAAACCCTGTCATGGAATGGACATTTGCAGGGAGTTTTGCACAAAGCTAGACTATCCTTGTGGACTTGTCGCAGTCTTTGTGGAAAAAATTGGGGTCTTACCCTGAAAGACTGTACTGGCTCTATGTGACTGTGGTTAGACCTATGATCACATACGGAGCAGCAGCCTGGTATAGGAAAGTCCGACAGACTTCAGTTATCAGTAAACTTTCACGAATTCTACGAGTAGCTGGATTGGCAATCTCTGGTGCGATAGGCACAATGCCAACTCTAGCAATGGAGATTCTGCTTGGCCTATCCCCTCTGCATTTGCATATAGAGAAAGTGGCTAGAACAACTATTTACAGATTTAAGCAATATGCTCAAAACTGTTCCGACATGTCCTACCAATGGGCTGCGGAAGACATTATAAGCACTGATACTGTGCTATCAATGCCGTCAGATTTTTCGGTATCACTATCAGTGATTAATGCTCGATACCAGATTGTACTGCCTGAGCAGCAGTCCTGGATCGAAAATGAAAATTCTCTGGTTCGGGCAGACATTTGCTTGTACACAGATGGATCAAAAACGCCTGAAGGGGTAGGAGCAGGAGTATACTGCCAGACACCTCGAATTAAGCAAGCCTACAGCCTGGGTACGTAATGTACTATATTTCAGGCCGAAGTATTTGCTATTGACATGGGTGCTAAAATCCTTCTTGAAAGAGGGGTGAAGAACATGACAGAACGAATTTTCTCAGACAGTCAAGCCGCTCTCCAGGCGCTGCAAGCCGTGAAAACGGTGTCGGCTCTGGTTAATGATTGTAAGAGAACATTAAACACACTGAGCTGTGATAACAGAGTCTCTCTGATCTGGGTCCCGGATCACTCTGAGGTTGCTGGCAATGAAGCGGCAGATAAGCTAGCACGAGATGGCAGCGCTGAAGCGTTTGTGGGGCCGGAACCAGCAGTTGGTGTATCATTTGCGATGGCCAAATATAGGATTGGACTGTGGGCTGAAGAGAGACTTCGCCTACTGTGGACCAGTTCTCCTGGAATGAGACATACTAAGGTGTTTATTAACATCGCCACTGTCAAACCCGGGAATATTTTAGGACTTGCCCGTAGTAGCATAAAAGTTCTAATGGGTGTTTTTACTGGGCACTGCCGATTAAAAGCACACCTCAACTTGTTGGGTTTAGCCGACGATGTTGAATGCCGACTATGTGCGGAGGAAGCAGAGACGGTTGAGCATGTTTTATGCCACTGCCCTGCCGTTAACCGTATCAGATTCTCGATTTTTGGGTCGCAGTTTATCTCCTCAAAAGATCTGAATGACCTTTCGCCGAGCAAGGTATTAATGTTCGTTAAGAGCATTGGACTGCACGGTGAAATTTGATAACGATATCTATCGGAGTACAATAGATCCTTTTGGGTCGCGGTGCAAGGTTGGTTGGTCCGCCTACCCGATATGTATTCTATGTAATGTAATGTAATGTAATGATAACAAATTTTTTGTTGCTATTTTATAGTTTTTCGACTATACATTACATTTAATAAATTTGCAAGTAAGAGGTTTATTTTTCCTGTTTTTAATGAATTAATTAATTTTTATTCTTAACAATATTGATCTTTTACACTTTTGCTTTCAAATGTATAAATATCGTGAGAAAATCGAAAAGGTAAAAATTAGACTACATTACAGCATTTCGTAGTTGCAGAAAAAATAATACAAAGTAATCGTAATAAATCAGTTTAAACTATAACGTGATTTTGTCGTTATCAAAGGTAAATAACGATACATGTTCCAGTCCCGATTCGAATTTGATTATTGGGAAATCACAAAAAAAAAATTGGATTTCGAAAACATCGGCCGTTATTAGGTTAATATGTGCGACTACTACGTCTTTTTGTCGACCTTTTTTGTGCGACATGTTTTGGCATGCGCCCTAGGTTCGCGATGCTCGTTAACGAGTTTAAACCTGATGTGCTACAGCGCGCAATGATAACGACGGCCGCGCAGTGGTGCTCGGAACGATCAGATAATGGGAAAACTGTCGTTGAAAGGGTGGGTCTCCATATACGTACTACTATAAAAACCAATAACGCGAGGATACTCGTTTGTTAGCACACATCAAAGCCCGTCTGTAGGAGCCTAAAATAGGCAACTGTCATGGTATAGAATGTCCGAACAGCGCGTTAATTAAGTCTGGTTATAAAATATTTTAAAATTCAAATCTTTTCTATAGGACACATGACTAGACCAGAAAGAAAACTTTGATGTAGCAGACATATTAATTACTTTGTGTTATACGTCAGATTATTTTCACAAGTTTAACCACAAAAAATCAATTAAAAATGATCTAGATAAACAGTTCATCTTGGTTCTAATCCAAACTGTCAGTGATAAAACTGGATTAAATCATCAAATCGAAGTGCAGTTCAGAACTGAGTGGGGTTGAACAATTGATTTTTTCGTTGGTTTACGCCCCCATCTGTAAGTAGCCATAAATCCCGTTTAATGCATGCAGTTTTTACGTGCCCAGCGCCGCCTGGATCTGAGCGGAGTGCCCGAATACTAAAGCGAGCATTAAATTGTAGGTGAATTGGATGTATACTTTATGCCCTTAACTTTGATCGTAATTTCAGAAGTTATTTTTGCCTTCGCAATTCCCGCCCGTTACATTATTCAAATGGACGAAGAGCGACAGTGGAGTCGTCGGTCAACGAGATTCCAAAGGTTCGACCGAAATTAAGTTACAGCCGCCCGTATATATTGCCAATGTCAAAACCTCCAAAATCACTTTTGCGTGTAACCAAAATAACTCCTACAGAATCGGGCAGTTTTCGTAAAAATGCTCGACATCCCCTTTTTCTCTACGATCGCTAGAGGGCACATGGGAAACGCGATATCCGGTTCGTTCAACGCTGGATATAAAATTTTATCATCCCAAGGGACTTGAAACCCAGAACCACTTCACCTGTTCGCCGTTGTTTACTGTACACTTTTATTAAATACTTTTTACATTGGTTACGCAATGATTTATTTTTTATTCGAATATCCAACCTAAAAGTTTTCTATTGATTTCTATACAATAATTGGAATGAGATCAAACCTAAAAAAAAATTGTGTTCAGATTGATCCGGAGAATCGGTTCGACTCCATTACTTAGAACAATATTCAATTAACGACGCATTACCCATCAGAATGTGCTCGGCCATGCGTTTAGTACGGCCACCCATCCGGCAATTGATCAGAATGCTTCCGTTCAACCCCCTTTAGTTCCCCCCATTCGAGCCTCGCCCTCGTCACGGGCGTCCGCGCAAATCTTGTCGATCTAAAAATTGGATTCCGACTAGACGGCAGGCCTAATTAAAGGTACTGAGTGCCGCACAAAGGCTAATGCCGTGCGGAGATAATGGGATGAAAATTGAATTAGAAGGGACGATCGGTTCCATTTTATAGGATTTTAATCAAAGCTTCAAGTTTGGATTGAAGGCTTCGTTCTAGATGTCTTGGCACGTATTGGACTATGATTTATTGATGTCTGTACCAATTTTTAACATCTATAGGAATTAATGCTCCTCTAAAATTGTTATTATTTTTAAATGTATTGGTAGTAAAAAAATAATAACAATAGTCAACGTGGTATTAAACGTGTGTAAATGTTTACAACGTCGGTTGCACACATTATGATTATTACATTTACCAAAAATATGTTTTCGCTGCCTTAATACACAATGGTACAAACTGTAGCGCCTAGTCCGCAAACGACCTCGACTTTAATATCTAACGCGAAGATAAAACAGCACGACCTTGATATATATATGTTAGCGTCAATCTGTATAATTCAGGTACTCTATACAATGGCGATGTTTACCTCCAGGTTCATCATTTTTCGTAAAAGAATATAAAAACCACAATATTTGCATAAAACGATGACTAATTTATTATAGAGGAATTTCGGTGGTACAGATCTGTTTCGGTTAACTATGTAACCGTCTTCAGGCACGACTAGAAATTAAGGAAAATTGTTATACAAATTTACTTAAAATTAAAGTTATTTACCGTCGTATTTAGTACTACATTACAAAGGGATTAACAAACATCGTATATATTACATCATAGTGGAGAAGCATCTTAGTGAAATTTGTGGAGTGAAAACCGCGAAAAAAATATTAAAGTTCTTTCTTAAACATTAGCAAAATGGGGGGAAACGTGTTGTGCAGTAACAACTAGAAACAAAATCAAAAAGTTAAAAAACCGTTAAACTGACTTAACAAAAATGTTGAAACAAAATGGCGTCACTTACATTGTGTACATTTTATGCAAAAAACCTTTTTATTTTTCGTGAAATAATCTTATATGAGAGATGAATCGCTATTAACTGTAATGGAAAAGTGAAAATTATTAAGTGGATTTAACTTTGTAATAATCTTACCACAAAATTAACTCTAAATTGAAAAAACAAAATGTGATGAGCTGCGTACTCCAAGAAAACTTGGTGCAGACTGCACTTATAATGAAGTGGATTGCGCATGACGACTCAGGTCGATCGGTGGGCGGGAATTTTCAAAAAATTTCAGGAAATATCTGTGATCATTGAACTCTACGTTATCATTGATTAATAACTCTTTATCATTATCACGAATATGGAACTCCTCTAATAAGTCCATCTTTTTAGATTTAAGAAGAGGCCTTACCAAATCTATATTATTATATTATTAATTTTAAGTAAATTTGTATAACAATTTTCCTTAATTTCTAGTCGTGCCTGAAGACGGTTACATAGTTAACCGAAACAAATCTGTAGCACCGAAATTCGTTTATAATAAATTAGTCATCGTTTTATGCAAATATTGTGGTTTTTATACTCTATACAATGCCTAGGTAATGTATAAAATGCCTGGGGTGTCTAGGCAATGTATGAAATATTATGAAGATTATTGTCCCTTAGATACTTTACCTAGGCAATGTATACAATTCTTAGTGATTACATAGAGTACCTGTTGGTCGACCGGCAATGTGTAAAATAAATACATTTTGCATTTTGGTCAGTATTTATCAATTTTTATAGTCAAATTACAATTAAATTACATTAAAGTTAAAATTTTTCTGGGTTAACTAACATAATGTCATTTGCTTATAAGTAATCGAGCTTACGAAACAAAATAATTCTGTAAAAACAAGACGTAGATCTAGTGGCCTTCCAGAATTGAGTAAGTAAAATTCTCTAAATTCTCTCTCTTCTGTTCTCGCCTTTTACACACATTACCGGCTTCGCATTCGGTATTTTATAAAATACCTAGGCAAAGTATAAAATTAATAATATTTTATATATTACCTAAACGTTTTAGGTATTCTATAAATTGCCTATAGTATTGTATAGAATACCGGATTATACAGATTGCCGGTAACATATATAACCTTGTGTACTTAACTAAAAGAGTGATGCTCTTGCAGATTGTGGCGCCTCGGCTGCAAACGACACATTTGAGGTGATTTGAGTTACGTAATGAAGTGCATTACCGCACTGGTTTCATTATGTAACGCATTCTTAGCCCAACCAGAACAGACTTAATTTATTGAAACGAGCAACAATACAAAAGAAAAAGTGCTACCTATTTAAAGAGAAACAATACCATTTATTACAAACATTAATTGTTATGTTTTTACATTTCGAAACACTTAGTCCAGATGAGTAAACGTGATATTGAAACTGACATTACTTCAAAATTGTCAACAATCATTTCAAAATATTTTTATAAATGTCCAAATAGACTTTTTTAACCCTTAACTAGGCGCGCCTACATACATACGTTAGTGGGCGCATGGGGTCTCTCACGACCCTAATCTGAAATCTTAATAATTGAAGGAAAATAAATTATAAAAACGTTTACAATGAATATTGTTGTTTATTAACAAATAATTAATCCATATTTGAAGAATTCAGACAATGTTCACATACGATCTTCTTATGATTCGCGCACAAAGTTTTTTCGCACAAACACCATGATATTTGATAGTTACACTTGATATTTTCTGTCATTGTTCCGGGGGCAGTAATCACAGCGCTTAAGTTTTGCATTCCTTCGATTCTCCGGTATTGCCTGACGTGTCATTCCAAATTTCAGCTCGATCCGGCTTCTGACGTCCCTTGGAGTAGCGACAGAACACAGCCTACTTGTCTGGAATAGTTTCACCAACTGTAACACAAGTTGTTTCAAGAAACCACGTCTGTGAATTTTTTTCCACAGTTTTTTTCCTTGAAAATGATGTATGCGTTGATTGCCGTAACATTCATCAAGTGGAAAAAAATAGCTAAGGGCCAGCTTCTCGTTCGGCGACCAACATCGTAGGATGTGCACATCTGATCCATGGTGTCCACTCTACCTTTCGTCGAGTTATAATATTTGATGATTTCCGGTTTTTCATCGTCGTTGATGTTCTCTTCGTCTTCCAGATGCATTGTTGAAAGTAACATGACAGCCTTCCTTTTCCCTGGAACATAGGAAACCATGGTCATGTTTTGTTGGTGTCCATAGATGCGGCTTTTGATTTGACGGTCTTTGCAGGGTTGAAATGATGGTGGTATCTCTCGCTTGTTCTTTCCAAGTGTGCCCACTAGTGAGATATTGTGATTTTTCAGCAAGCCATGTGCTAGAGGTATGCTTGTATACCAATTATCGGTGGTGACGTTCCAGCCGCTTTCATGTATGGGGGAAATGAGACGGTACAGTATTTTCTCTGCTGAGTTCTTCATGAAATACTGACCTTGAGATTCTGTTCCCACGTAGATCTCCATGTTCTGAAGGTAATAAGTCGTTGAATCTACCATCGCGAAGACCTTGGTGCCGTATCGGTTCGGTTTCAACGTAAGGCGTACTGGCGGAAACCACAGCGTCCACGGAATCCCACCAATTGTTCATCTATGGTCACATTTTCAGTTGGCACGTAACTGGAGATACAATTTTCGTTTATCACTGAGAAGAAATCACGTATAGCACTGAGTATATCACTTTGCATCCTGTCTTTTCTTATGTTGACGTCATCAAAACGAAGAGTTCTCGGAAGGAACATGAATCCTTTTGCAGGCATGGTATCCCGAAAGATGGTGACACTGGTATCCACTCTACACTCGTACAGTAATTATATTTCTAGCCCACTTGTAATATAAATAATTATTGTATATTTAGATAAGACAGTTATATTTTTGAATATTGTAGGCCTTATTTACAAGGTTAGACAATAAAGCTGAAGTCTATAAGCTATTTAGAACTTTGTTATCTAAATATACAAAGTTATTTATGCATAGATTAAGGTAGTGACGTTTTGTCTTTGTCGTATTAGGTCGCTTGCAGCCGAGGCGCCACAATCTGCAAGAGCATCACTTTTTTATCTAAGTACACAAGGTTATTTATATATCTTCGCGTAAGGTATTCGTCGTATAAGTCGAGGTCGCTTGCAGACGAGGCGCTACGGTTTGTAAAAATATATCTTTGTTATTCAAGTACACAATGGTGTAATAACGGAGTAATGTTTTATATCTACTGAGTTAAGGAATAAAGCGAAGGTCGCATGCGACCGAGGCGCTACAATTTTGCAAAATATATTTTCGTCATTCAAGTATACAGGGTTATTTAGATGTCAAGATGTCAATCAATGTACACCTTTAAATTATATGCGAAAAAATATGGTAACTTTGATAAGAGTTATTTGTACCTAGGATTAGCGTCGATTTGAAAACTACTGGCATGCTTCTTGGACTACAGTCTAGTTTTACAAAATACCCATGTTTTATATGTTGATGGGATAACAGAAACAGGGAACAACACAATGTCATTGTAATGTATATTAAGCCGAGGTCGTTTGCGTTCGATGCTCAGTGATTAATATTAGGGGAGAGGACGCAAATATCGACCACTTAAGCATCAACAGCTACAATGACTTTCTGTTTACAGTGACGAAGATAAACTCTTTCAGGTTTTTGGAAAAATGTTTTACTGAAATAAAATATCTAATGAATATATAATAATTGCATTAAGCTATTTTGTGTTAGAGCAAAGAAATTGCAGACATTATTTTGGTGGATAATATCGACCTGTTGGCTAAAATCGACCACGTAGTCGGCTAATCAGCGTGAGTCCAACCTCCAAATGAGCGACATCTCCACCATAATTCATTGTTTTGTCCAAAATCATGACATATTCTACACGTTGCATCTTCATTGGAAATCCTCTTTTGTTGACCTAGACACCGCTAACTCTCTTCTCGGGTTATTTATTCATTTTCCAGTTCTTACTTGACTGGCGTTAAAGTCAGAACAACTGAATTTTTCATTCTACTAGTGTTACTTCTAGTTTTCACTGTCGGGGATGGTAAAAGATGGATAAAACTTGCGTTCTCTTTCTTGGGTTGCACAGGTCTTTCTCGTCAGTCATCTCATTTTCTAAAACTACTTCTAAATCTAAATCTGAGGAAGATTCTGATTCTGTCGACTTTCGAAGGCGTTTAGGTTTAGAAAGAAGCTCTTGTGAATTATTTCAAAAGTAGGCGGTTCAGGGATAGGAGAAGGTGTTCTGTTCAAATTTTTGTCTGGCTGAGCATTATTATTGCTTTTTGTGTCAACAGCCGATGAAGGATGTGTCGTACAAGATGGAATTTCTATGGTTGGGATATCAGTAAATTCATCATCACTAAATACAAAACAATTGAAAAGGATCCCGGTCACTTAGAAAGTCTTTACTCCTTTCTCCATCGTTGCTACTCTATTATAAGCATTCCTGAATAATTCTGCGATGTCGGTTTGCAAAATTTTTTCGTGTTGCTTGACTTTTATATATCTATCACATTCTTGCCCATAGGCAATCTTTAGTGGCCCAAAAAAACAAACGCCTAGAGGCTGAACTTTATATAATGTGGGGCGGAATTGAAACAACCTTAATGCCGTTGTCTCTGCAGAAATTGTATGTACTTAAGTTAGAATAAGTAGAATGATTGTCCAAAACTAATAAAACTGGATCTTCTTTGGTAGGTTTTGTGAACATAGCAAAATGCTTGATCCATTCAGTGAAAAGACATTCCGTGATCTATCCAGACTTAGAACATCGGTAAATAGCGCTTGTTGGTCCATTTCTTTCTAGCGTTTCTTTCATTCCATCCCTTTTGAAAATAAACATTGTGGGAATGTAGAAGCCAGCAGCGCTCATTGCGGTAACAGTCACTAACTGACCTTTTTGCCCACTTATAACTGCGACCACTTGCTTCTGCCCTTTATTGGCAACAATGCGGCTAGGATTGTGCACATTACTTATCCCTGTCTCATCAACATTAAAAGGACGGTGAGAATTTATGTTGGCTGTACAGTTTTTCCAAATTTTCGTAAAAAATAGTCACCTCTTTGTTGTTGAAAGCTAAAGGCTAAGCCTCAAGTTTACGAAAGGTTAAAGTTGGATTTCGTTGCATGAAGGAGCAGAGGCAATCTTTTCCACATATACGTTTCTGTTTGCTGAAATTGTGTTTGAGCTTATTTGCCTCAGCAAACTCGTCGGCGAGTTCCTGGATTGATTTAGCAGTTAATCCTTAAAATACTTTAGAAGGGTTAATAATATGATTAGCTAGCTCTGACTCTTGCTCTACACTAAAGACGGGTTTTCTT